TTTTCAATGATAATCTCTTACTACAAAACATAGGAAAATGACAATTTTAACAAAATTTAATTAGAAAATTATTAAATATTAAAAAATATTTTATAGTTTAGAATACAATAAACTATAAAGTATTAACTATTGAAAATGATGAAGGACCCCTTATGGGTTGAGCCCCTCCATCTAATAATTAATATTTCAATGTTTAATTTTTTATAAAAAAACTCTATTTTGTAGTCTATATTATATTAAATTGTAAAATAAAAACTATTAAATGAAAAATACTTTTAATATTAAAGACTTTACTTTTATTTAATTATTAATATAGTGTAATTCGATATAATTTAGATTATACTACACATTTTTGTTTTTTATATAATATTTTTTAAACATTACTTTCTTAGTAGCTTCTATACCTTTCTTCCATACAATACATTTCATACTCTCAAACGAAACGGGCCTTGGAGGATTATTTTTTTCAGTTCCCAGCCAAAAATAACAGGAACTGTTCATATATGAGTAGACTCCAAACCAACGCTTCGGACAGATAAACCACGGTTTTCTCGGGCCAGGTGGGTTTGACTGTCATTAGCCGAAACCCAAAGCCAGTCCTCGATAACACCCCCTTCAACTCTCAAAAATGCCAATTCCACTTTCTCCTCTTCCTCCTCCTCTCTCACAAATTAATTCTTGATTTTCGTTGATTTCTTTTGTTTTGGGCTTTCCTTTTTCCATGGCGGAAAGAGAGGGTTTTGAGGGGGAGCGGCGAGCGTCATCAGCCGCCACAGCTTCTACTACTCCTAGTTTTTCTCAGTTGTTGTTCGGAGACGATGATGACGATGATGTTGTCACGGGTCTTGATTACGGGCAGAGTTTCACCTACACTCCTGTTTTCCCTGTTCCTGATAATCGGAAGCCTCCCAAAATGCTTTGCTTCGGAGGCCCACAAAGTGACGCCGACCATGAGATGGTACTTTTCGGTGGCAAAGTAATTACTACTCACACCATAACTCCTCAGAGATCCGGCGTTACATGCAGTGATTCTTCTTCGGCTTCCTCCGGCAACAACAGCATCGCCGCTGCTTCTAATGCCATAGCTAAATCTAAGGTGAGTGTGGTTGACGACTTGACCGAATTTGTTTTTAATTTCGGCATTTTGGGTTGATTTTATCTTTTAGCATCGAGTACGAAGGTAGTTCTAGACTTCCTGTTTTTGTTGTTTTTTTGGTAGAAAAAGAGAAGAGGAGGTCAAGAATCGGCGCAGTGCACGAGTAATGCCGGAGTTGCGGCTGCGGCAACGAACCAAAGAATTGCAAGTAAAAAGAGCAAGCCCGAGAATACCACATCAACTGGTACAGCTAAGGTATTGGATTTTGCATGTCCAAATTTTGTGGGTTTGGAACATTACACAATGGGAATGATGTTTCCCTTTCTAAACTCTCTTTATCAGTTTCAGAATTCAGAGTTTTTAGATACCTAACGTGGAAGTTCAAATTCAGACATGTAACATGTTCATGTTTTGCTAGGAATAAAACAATTTCATGTTTTGTTTTATTTGTACTTTCTTTTTGTGTGTGTGTGTTGATAGAGAAAAGAAAGGCTGGGAGAAAGAATCACAGCATTGCAGCAGCTGGTTTCACCCTTCGGCAAGGTGAAAAAATTTTGAAGAAAATTGAGTCGATTAATTAATTGGAAATTCGGTTATTAAGGTTATAATTTGATTATTATTTTCTTTTTTTGTGGGAATACGGAAAATTTTGCAGACAGACACCGCATCAGTGCTGCATGAAGCGATGGGATATATCAGGTTCTTACAAGATCAGGTTCAGGTTCTCTGCTCTCCTTATCTTCATCACCTGAGACCTGTAAGTACCAGAACACGTACCATTCAATTTAGTGTGTCATTAATAATCCCTTCACGGCATTGGCAAATTCAAATTCTTTGCACCATTTTTCATAAATTTAAACTTTCAAAATATTCTAGAGTTTTTTTTTTTTTTTAATATGAAAAAGAGTCATCTCTTTTTGTAATTCAGCAAACTAAAATGGTTAAAGATTCTATAAAACATAAGTTTATTAAAAATTTGTAGTGTAATTTAAATTATATTACATTATTCATTAGATGAAAGTAAAATTCTTAACATTTAAAGCTTTTGAATTATCTAAGGGTTGTAGAAAATTAAGATTACCTGACAATCTTGGTCTAATCATTTATTATGTGATTCTTATGTGATTCTTATGTGGATTATAACGTGGGAGTTACATGATAAATGGTTTTGATTCTTTTGATTCTGTCAGATGGAGAAGGGAGTCTTGACTTTTTATTTTTTAATTTTTATTTTATATTAAATTATAAAATATTAATTTTTAAATTAAATGATATATTTATTTAATAATAAATGTTCTACAATATAATACAGGTCAAAAGATAAAAAAGCATACTCATATACAACAATAATTCGTCTACAAATTTAGACAACACATGTATTCACCATCTTGATGTCAGTCAGTAATTTTCAGTAACTTAGTGTCATGTAGTCCATCATAAAATATGCGTCCAAGTATGCTGGGTCCCATAGAAATGTGACTGGACTGGAGTGGACTGACCGGTGCGGAAAAATTTGACCGCGGGGAATTTATTACATTTTGACGGGGTCAGGTCAAATTAAAATACTGGGCCACTAAATCACCCGTGTGTTTCTGATTTGGACAGGAGGGCGGAGAAAACGGAGGGGAAGAATTAGGGAAGGACCTAAGGAGTAGGGGGCTGTGCCTGGTTCCAGTGGCATGCACCGTACACGTGGAGAGTAGCAACGGTGCAGATTTCTGGTCACCTGCGATGGGGACCCATGTGACCCAGCAGTGAATTTTAGCCCTTTTGTGGTGGGGAAAAAAAATAGTACCATGAGGAAAATATGTGCAAATTTGGAGTTTGTGACTGAGGAGAATTTTTGAAAGGATAATGGATCATGGATGGATGGGTGAAGGAGAGAAGAACAGGGGAGATTTTCCTTTTTATGTTTTTCTTTTTTCTGGGGTTTTGGTGGCTTTAGCATGACCTACACTTGTAAATTGGGTAGGCTTAACCTATTACCAATGCAATTTTGAGAAGAGGGCTGGTTGCCTCTTTGCAGTAGTTCTCTCAATTCTCCTGGCTTTGCTTTTCCACAGCTTTTAATGGCTTATTTTACATGCCTCATGCGTTACCCCAGTCAGTATTCTCTGTGTTCTACTTTGGAGTAACATAATTATTAAGGCAATTTAGGGAAAAACACTAAAAATATTATCTTTTGCAACACTCTTTGTTACGGTAGTTTGCACTAAAATGGTATTTACGATGCTTTTTATTTTTTTGATAAGGGTAATGGTTAGTAGGGTAGTATTGTTAGATGTTAGCAACTGAAGATTTGATCCCCAAATCTGATGAACAACTCATCGACTTCAATGAGACGTGCGACCATGATATTTATTATGCTTTTATTATGACATTTTGTATGGAAAAATAATGTCACAATTGAGGGGTTTTTTTAGTGAAAAAATAAAAATACAATGACTATGAATTGAAATGTCACATCTATCTTTAATAAAAACTTTCTCTTTTCTATATTAATAGGTTAAAATAATAAAAAAAATTACAATTTAAATTATTTTAAATAATAAAACATTAACTCTTAAATGAAAAAAGTTCATCTAATATTAGAAGTCATTTCTTCATTAAGGATTCATATTTTACAGTTTGAATTATGAAATTACATACCTCAAAGTAATAAAGGAGGATTTGAAATAGTGTTATTTAATGTCTTTTAGCAATAGAAAGAAGGATACCTAAATAAAATTAGACAATTAAATAAAAATGGAGGGAGTAGGAAACAACACATAAAAATATAGATGAAGACTCGTTTTCTTTGAATCATGGATTTATACAAGAAGAGGGATGCAATACAAACACTTTCCAAGAGGTCACTTATCCTAGTGCTACTCCATACTAGTAGGATCTCATTTCGAGGATGACATAGAACAATTTTTAGCAGTAGAGGGAAGACTATGAACCTTTTCTTAATATAAGGATAAAAACGAACAAAATATCAAAGTAGAGGGACGTGCATGAACTGTAACCCTTTGGGCACCATGACGGGCCAGAAAGTTGCAACCCGACTACCCGATTCAAATGCAAATCCATTGAGAACCGACCCTTTTCCGTGGCACAAATATAATGGAATTTTGCTTTGCCGCTTTATTTCAAAGATACACTGCGAGTCTTGCTCTGCACTCTTCTCTCCGAAATGAGCCTCAACTCCTCTCGCTCTGCAAATTCCGGGCCGCAGCAATCCAACAGAAGCTTCAATTCCAATTCCTCAAACAGCAACAGCACCAACAACAAGAAGAGAAAAAGCCACCAGAAAACCCTAGGCGCGGCATGGGGCGCCAATTCCCGATCCTCCTCTCGCTCCTCATTTCGATCGTCTCCATTCTCGGACTTTGGCAGGTATTCTCGGTCTGTCTTTTATTATTATTATTATTATTATTATTATTTTCTAATTTTGTATTGGAATCTTCTAATGTAATGGAGAATTGGAGAGATTATACGAAGGTAGTTTGGAAATAATTTTTTTTTTTCATGAATTTTGCGCAAAATTAGACTATTTTATGCAATTCTCAGTGAAAGGTACTGTTAACATGAGAAATAAAGGAATTATGCGAAGTGTTTTTTTTTTTTTTCTTCATGAATTTGGTGCAAAATTAGACTACTTTCTGCAATTTTCAGTGAAAGGTGCTATTAGATTCTGTATTATGTATAAGGATTAATAAATATATTGATTGTTTCCAATTCATTGTATTATCTTAATATTACTTACTAGCTGGAGGTGATTCATGATTTTATATTTAACTGAATTATTGTAGATTTTTTTTCCCCAAGTTTAATTATTTGTTTTGTTGATTATTTGGATGTAGTTACATGGTAGAGAAGAATAGGAAGCTTCGACACCAGTTTGATGCTGAGGCTTCAGGTTCTTCCCATAGTGTTTCAAGTTCTGTTAAGCCTATATTTCACGGAGTTTCTATTTTTGTTGATGGTTTCACTATTCCTTCTAGTCAGGTTTGGTTCTTTTTGAAAATTCTCTCATAATTGTGTTTGTTATAGAATTTATAGAGAACAGCATATTAAATTGATTGTGGATTACTTCTGCTTTGTTTGTCTATTTGGGTCAGTTGATTTATACTTTCTTTATGTATTAGAATTCATCATCAGAACTTAGTCAATTACATAGTATTTCAACTTGTAGGGCTCTTTCCATAGGTATTAATGGCAGTATTCCAATTTCTACAGGAATTGCGAAGCTACATGTTGAAGTATGGTGGACGTTTTGTGAATTACTTTTCCAGGCATCATGTTACTCATATTATCTGCAGCAATCTTCCTGACAGTAAAGTCAAGAATCTTAGGTTCATTCTGATTCTATGTCTTTCTTTTTTTCTGCCTTTCTGCCATTCTAGTAGGATTAGCTGCTCTTTGCCTAAAATAATAGAAGTGGATTTTGGTTGATTATTATTTTGTTGGTAATTCTAATGCAGGTCCTTCAGTAGCGGACTCCCAGTGGTGAAACCTATGTGGATTCTAGATTGTGTGGCAGCCAATAGGCTCTTGAGTTGTAAGTTGATGTATTTTATTGATTTGGAGTAACATAATTACCCTAGATACAACAGAAGAGAAGCAATGGGATATAAATTAGATTTATTTATTTATTGAAGGAATGTGATGATAGTAGGAAATTATTGATAGAAGCAGTTCTTCATTGGGTGATTCTTTTAGGAATATCATCAAGCCTACATCTTTCTTATCTTCTCAGCTTGCCACGAAGTAGTTCTATCTGTAGTTTCATTCTTACAGATTTTGATTTACTCTTTTAAGGGGTTCCTTATCAGCTTGACCAACTTGCAAGCAATCAGCCCAAGTTGTCAGCCTTCTTTGCTCTGAAAAGCAGCTTGACTTCTGAGGATGCTTTGACAAATCCAGTGCATCCTATAAAGCATGAAAGTGAGGAGTTGAGTTTATCTGATGAGGGCAAGTCTATGAATAAGTTAAAAATGACTGATAAACCTAATGACCATTTTTCTGAAAAAGCTAATGCAATAGTTAATGAGGAGTCTATTAATTATGAAGGTGGAAATTCTTGTGAAATAAAATTGGCAGAACAATGTCAATTTGAGATTAGGGAAGGAAGTGGGACCAAAGATGCACTTCTGTCCTGCCCTGAGCCCTCTGCTACTGTCAATAGCCATTGCTCTGACAATCAAAGTACAAAAGGGTCACCAAGTTCAAGAGTTGCAGGACCTTCAAAGCAGCGCCATTCAACTCTTGGAGATCCAAATTTTGTGGAAAATTACTTCAAGGTATTTATTGGGAAAACAATTCTATGCTTTCACATCTAGTGCAATATTGTATTAGTTTTTTTTATAGATAGGTCATCATTGTTCTTTTCTTTTTATAATTTGTTATGAATGATAATTTAAAAACTCACCAACCTTTGTAGTGAATGTAAGTCCAGGATTTTTTGGTATTTAGAAATTTAGACCTTGATATGAAGTGGTACTGATTGAAAAAAATATTTATATGTTGTTAAACTTCAGGGCTATATTATATTCATTTTTATAAACCACTGCTTCCACTTTATGACATTGGTTTTTCTTCATATTTTAATAAATAGTTATGAATAAGTGAATAACATTTTGAAAGCTCTTTAACCTTTCATTTCATGTGAGGTAATGCTTTTGTTTATTATTGTGAAATTTGAACATCTATTTGTTTGAAATGTAACTTATGGGTCTCTTCATCTGGTTGCATATTTGGATGCTTGCCTATATGCAGATTATAAATGCATAGGTCTATCATGTAGAAGGTTCTTATCAAGCAGTTATTTTTTATGTTTGTCAATCTATGTTCTTGTTTCACTGATCCATGGTAGAAGAATAGGGAATCTGAATATATATCTATTTTTATGAATAAAAGATCAAATATCATATTCAGTTTCCAGCATTTTGCTAAGGTAATACTCTTTGTGTCTGTTTGGCATCTGCAATCTGATCTTGCATTAATCAAGTTTGCTAGTTATCGATGGCCACTATTTTTACTGTTAATTATCAAGCCCAGCCTAGTATTTCAACCTCTCCAAACTATAGCCGTTTTGTCTTTGGGAAATGACTTCATAGAAAATATAGGTAACATGATTCATGAAAATGTATACATTATTCAGTTAAAGGAATGTAAAAGGGAATAGCTTTGAAAACTGCTCCCCCTTCCAATGGAGGAAGTAGTTTGCTGAAAAAGGAAAGAGTTTCCTCTTTATCTGTCTCTAGTACTTTGTTTCTCATGTATACATTTCTGGGTCATGTTACCAATAAATTTTTAGGAAATTGTTTTCTGTGAACAAAATAAAGGATAAGTGAATATTCATCTTTGGACTATGATGGGATGGCTTAAGGCGGAATATGAGTAAGAATTTAAATTTTGATGATATTTAAATAATTTTCTCTCTCCTTGGTAATGTGTATTTATTTATTTTTCTTGAAGTATAGCATACTTGTTTTTTCACAACATGCATTTTCTTCCTAAATTAGCCAAAGATATTTGAAGTGATAAACAAGCTGATTTACTATAACTATGTATTTGTGTATAGATCGTTGGATTAATACTTGACACCATTGAAGCTACTTAATGATATTGTCTGTCTGCATTTTGACCAAGCTCTGGTTGTTGCAGAATTCAAGGCTGCACTTTATAGGAACATGGAGAAGCAGATACTGTAGGCGTTTTCCAAGCTCATTGAATCGATTTGATTGCACAAACTCTTGCCTGAATGTTTCTGGTGATGAAAGGAAGACTGCAATTATCCATGTGGACATGGTAAACTGTAAACTGGGTTGTTAAGCCTGACTTCTTATTGTCTATCTTCTCTTAGGCTTCTAGTTATATATTAATTGATCTGAAGGCATTTGAAATTTTGGCCTGAATATGGGATTAAGTTTCTTAAAAGGTTTACATAGGATTACCTATCTCTGCACTTATTTTAGTGGCATGACACTGATATGCTGCTTCAGGATTGCTTTTTTGTCTCAGTGGTCATCAGGAACCATCCTGATTTACTGGATAAGCCTGTAGCTGTCTGTCACTCAGACAATCCAAAAGGAACTGCTGAAATCTCCTCTGCAAATTATCCTGCTCGGGGTTATGGTTGGTTGTTAGTGAAGTTGTCTCTCTCTTACAATTCTTCACTATCTCTGAATTCAGCAGAAC